CGGAAGACCCTGCAGCGGCGATTGACTCGTGTGGGCGCTTCGACCGATACGCTCCCAACTCGTGAGTCGTGAAATCAAGGGTACGATCACCTCCGCACTAGCCGTCCGCCAAGCCGCATCCCTTCGAGCAGCCTCAGCTTTGTTCTCGACAAAAACTCTCCTGCAAAGCCGCCTCCAGCCACAAGTCTCTGACAGATGATCAAAAGGAAAAAAAAGAATGGGTGGAACGCCATGCGAGACGGTGCTAACAGTGTGGGAAGCGGCCACTTCGTAGCCACGAAACGGGACCATTTCTTTTGCTTCCTCTGCCCACTGCGCTAGGACTTGTACAGACTTTTTTTCTGGATCACGGATGCGTTCGTCTCCCCCCGCTCGTCTCGTCCAGTGAAAGGATGAAGACAATGGTCCCCTGGAATGAGATCGGGGGGCTCGGCTGGCTTGCCACTGCAACCCACGTCCGCTTGGCCATGGATTACATGCCGGCCACCGCTTCGGCCTGCATCTTCTTCTGTGTCGGTGACTGGTCACTTGCCAGGCCTCCCGTTGAGTCGGTGTTTACCGGTTGGAGGGGATATGATTGGCCGGTTTTAACCTCTTGCTCGTTGCATTCACCATCTTTAGAGGGGCGCCGGGGTCTCATCGGTGCTAGGGAGCCGTTTGGCGAGCAAACGTTGGGAGACGTTGCTGTTTAGGAGGTCGTCTGGAGCAGAATGTCACGCTACCCAGCCTCTTTTCCCGCAACAGTGGGCCATCGCCCGGCGAGACAACAGAACATCGAGGACCAACATGCGGTTCGAGCGCCTAACCCAACATGTCGAGCAGAGCTGCTGCGCTGCTGCGGCGGTCGTCGTGAACCATCTTGGCAGGTTCTTTGTTCACATTCAGTGGGTTTTGGGAGATACGGGCTGCTCGGCCAGAACTCATCGGACGTCGCTCGGAACTATTGTGGCTTCATCGGCTGGCAGGCCACTGCTCTAGAGAGCAGGCTCACCCGTCCCGTCAAAACCTGAGCGTCGAAATAGTCGTCGTCGTTCTGTGGATTTTCGAATTGCGTGTTAGCACACGTGGATTCTGAGGTTTCAGGACTCGGGGTGTGATGCAACGTTGGGATGCATTACAGACTGCCTGATTTGGCAAAGATGGGGAGCTCTCCATCTTTGTCAAGTGACGCTGGCCAGCGGAACAAACTCCAGAGAGCTTCACCGTCGTCGTCCGAGTCAAGCTCTCGTCGATCGGAGCACCGCGGCGGTCGTTTCTCGCCAATAGCAGAAGCCCAATCATCCTTTGCACCAGGGGTGGGGGGGGAAAGGGGGTCCACGCTGAACGGGGCTGTTCTTAGTCCCGTCTGTTATTACGGACGCTCGTCCGTTTCTATGGTTCTCGAGTCTGAGACAACCTCATCTTCTTCCGAACCTCGGGCCCTGATCCAATGCAAAGCTTCAACTTTCTATATGCTTTCGCTCTATTACGACCCAGGAGCCCAAGCACGGGGGATCATCCCAGAAGTTGAACTCAATCCAGCTCCACACGCAAACCATCAGGCAACGTGTAGTTTCGCTACAAATCGCGCGCTATCGCATGCAATCACGATTGTCTACCCCGTATAACGTCATAGAACTGATAGCTCATGACACGGGAAGCTTCCAGCTGTACTCGGAGAAAATATATCTCTGACATGCCAGAGCCTTTTTTATTCTGGCTTTGGAGCCTTGGCCAGGAAGACCCGACTTCCCCAGGATTCCCAAGGCTTACAAACCGGCTTGGCACACATGCGTTTGCGCAGACGTGAGCTAGCTAACCCGTCACCGGCGGCCCCGCGAAGGATCAAGCCCATAGGGAGGGGACGATCGCAATATGTTTTGAAAAGCCTCAGTCTGAAGTTTACAACAGGGTCGCGCAGCACTTTTGAGTTGGTGACGTGTTGGCCTTTTCTTCACATGCGCACGGCGCATGGTTCGGTTGGGGTTGCACTGGCTGCGCTTCACGATACCCTCAACGCCAACGACGGCACAACCTTGGCAACCTTAGCATGCAGCACAAAGTTGCTTTCTGCCCTCCTCCCCCTCCTCTTCCTCGTTCGTTCTGTCTGAAGTCGGACCAGGCAGGGGTGTGTTGTGAGACGCGCAGTGCCGGCCGGTCCCGCGGCTCCCTTGGGTACCAACCCGCCGTTTGAAAGTCTACGTCGACGACCGTTTGACGGCCGTAAGGTGGAGTCGCTCCGGAACTTGGCTCCGCGAAGCTTCCTCGGCCGCATATCGAGAACCATCCCACAGCACCGCATCATTGAATACGTTCATGCGCTTGTGACAGTCTCGGGGTGTCGGGTTTTTCTTCGAGAACGCTTTTATCCCCTTCGCTTGGAGCTTCGCGAGTACGATGCATCGGTGTGATATATGTCCCTTGCCGATCTAATAGCCAAATCTACCGTCCACGTGATGCATCGTTTCACAAGCTACCATGTTAGTGTTCTTGGTGCATGTTTGTGTCATCAGAGCTCGTCCTACCAGGGCGAGCAATTTTCACTGTGTTCCATTGCACGGCAGTTGATGGAGCACAGTTGTGTTTGTGTTTGCCCCATTGACTTGGGACGCGTTGGTGGGCTGCCGCTTGCCCTCGTGCCTAGCGACGTACTACATTGTAAACCCGCAGGATTCAGTTCGTGATCTTGTAATCTGCAGTCGACTATTTGTCTTGTCCAGCTAAATGCAATACTCCTGCAAGGAACCACCGCGTGCCAGCACGCCCTAGAACACTCAAACACCTGGGCAATCTCCAATGCAGCCACCGCAGCGTGTGTTGCGCATGAGTGTGGCTCTCGCCAGAATGTCACTATACTCATAATAAGATTCTATAACAGAGAAGCATTCTCATATCTCAGCCCAGTTCCAACCTCTCGTGAGTGACGAAGGGTTTCAATGTGGGGGAACATGCCAGCTATTGAGCTAGGGAACGTCGGCGTTAGTCTGCGGTTCTCGGGTGTTGTTCATTTGCACGGCGGGTGTCGTTGAAGGAAGCTCGGGTGCTTCAAAAGGTATTTGTATGAAGCATGGCATCGGGTTTAGCCCCATTGAGTCGATTTGCGATCTCGAAACAAAGAAGTGATAAGCTTGCGGACAGGATGAGAACGCCTGACTGCGTGTACTTGACTCTTGGGAAGGTCGATGGCATGCTAGCCTGAATAGATACTGAGAACACGGCCAACAACAGGGTTCTCGGGAAGCGACTGCGGGAGGCCTCTGTATCAGAGCAACTCGTGCTGACGGAGTGAACCCACGCTCAAGTCATGTGGCAATGAATGAAATCTGACCTTCATATGCGACAGTTACGTGAAATAGATCGAGACGTTTGTGTGTGTGAAGTGATGAGGTCTCTCAAATCCCGCTATGCAGCACTGTAAGACTGGGCATTTGTTATTCGGCATCAATCTTCGCTGTTTCCGCGACCAGCCATTTCTCCAACTATGATTTAGGAGTGATCAACTGGTCAATACTTAGGACGCCTTATATCCAGTCTGATTTTATAGTCGTGATGCCCGGGGAATATACGTGCTTTTGCAAATCGTGACATCGCAACCAGACATTTCCATCGACTCTGTTTAGAGATTGAATTCGATGAGAGTCCATTCGAAAGTGTAAGAAATGAGTTGCAATAAACCGTCTCTGACTCTGACTTGCTGGTTCCGGCGTAGTCCCTTTGCCGTCGGGAATCAGTTCGAGTTGGTTGCAAAAACCGTCAGTCAACTTCACATTTTACTATTCAGGCAACTCAGAATACATAGACTAGACGAAGGTAATGTAAACTATGCTCTGTTTCATCATTGTCGAGTCCAATGTTGAATTGATCACCAGGTAACTTGCGTAGGCAGACAGCCATGGGTGGTCGCGACTTATCCTGGTATCAGTCGAAGACCAGAGATGCCAAATTTGCATCGATCCACCTTCCTCAGATACTCCGAGGATCAATCCATGGCTCGGGACCTTGTATGTCCTGGAGACCTATATCCAGCACAATTTCCTTCATTGGAACGAGCCTGACAAGGCTCTAGATGGGAGTTTGGTCCATTGCTGATTCGGAGTAGGGGATAACCTCCCCAGATACTGCAGGAGACCTCGTGTACGCAGCAACAGCACCAAATCTCACTGAGTGGCAAGCGTTCCGTGGATGGAATGGCCTGGTGATGGCATAATTAGGATCCAAGCGTCTCGACTGACCAGAGACTACCAAGGTCCTCCGCCTTCTTCATCTTTATGCTTCCGTGCACATGAGCTCCTCTTCCGTGGGAGGGGGGGCGTTGTCGCGAACATCGGGGGCTGCGCCCTCGTCACCATTGCTGTAGCTCTCCGCTCTTCATTCCATCACCTTTCCCGCCAAATAATGATGCGATTAGTTGCCTATTTCTATCCTAGTCCGGGGAGAGACATCGATCAGAGTTATCGTTGTGTCTGTACCAGTTTCTCGTCCACAACCTGTCAAAATGAGATAGCCGACAGTATACAATCTCTCCAGATGCTTATGGCAGAGACCATCTCTACCAAGACAATCGACGGCAGGGAGTGGACTCTGTATCAGCAGCTCTTACAACAGGAAGCCTATGGCTAGAGTAATCTTTCTTATTGTCAAGACCCCCTGAGGCATATCCATCATCTGGTATTCATGTGCAACTTGAAGACAACGGGGCATCCCAGTGGCATCTTATGCTTACTCGAAGCTCCTCATAAGGGTCCGAAAGCATTGTATGGCGGATGGCGATCAAGTTAACAAATGGTTCCGTCGTGTAGATTCCTGTTTCGATCTCATCGTACCACTGTCATGTAGATGGCAACGCCTTATATCGAGAAACGATTACTTCGCATTATCATTCAATCATTGAAGGACGGCCGTATCGATGGTATTACATAAAACAACGCAGCATGAAGCACCCATGTCCACCATCCTTCCAGTAACTCCCTAGGATACCGAAAAATGTATACCAATAACATCCTTAGACTACGTCTTCATGCTCAAGCCACGCTCTCGGTTTGCTTAGTACCGTTGCTCGAGATGCTAGCATTGTCGGTGCCGTGTGATTTCTCCCCAGGCACCGAGCTGGCAACGATCCTAGCGTCCTCATCATGAATCTTAGTCTGAGCATCAGAAAAGGTGTCGGTCTGAGGGGTGAAGTCTTGGTCTGGTGACCAGTCTCGGAGGTCGTCTTCTGCATCGTTCAGAATCTGCCGCGCTTGCTGACCGTGGTTGTACGTGGGATGCATATCGCCGGGAACGACAGGGGTATCATCAAGTAGTTGTAGGAGACGTCGACCGTGCTTGGCGAGGATGATCTGCTTTGCCGCGCGCTCGATGGTGGCGGTAAACTCGGCCTCATACGCCTCCTTCAGTTTCTGACGAGTCTAGAGGTTGTTAGTGCAAGTTGAGAGACATCACCGAGCTTCAAACGTACGATATTCTTCAGCTGGGCTTCAGCAACTAAGTTCTCCGCCTCGGCTCTAACGAGCTCCTGTTCAAGCACAACAAGCCTGGCACTTTGGGGCTCCTTCATCTTCAGCTTCGCAATGTCGTCGGCAATCTTGTCCTTGCCGTCACGGCTCGGCTGGACACTCTTTTCGGTGTTGCGGATGGCTTTCAGTACGCCCCGAGAATCGTCGAGGGAGTGCGCATACTGGTCTTCCTGCTCGCCCAGCTCGCTAAGGATGACACCGACCTTGTCCGAGATGTCAGAGATGGCCTCATCGTTGGTCTGTTCACCCCATTCGGAGAGCTGAGTGGCGATGGAGACGCGTTCGCGGCCGGCGGTCTCGTGAGCGGTGATGAGATTGTTCTCGCTCTTGATGAGGCGGTAGAGCTTGCGTGAGAGCTCAGGCTGGACGTTACCGCGCAGGGAGTTGAAGGAGAAGCCAGTTCGCTTGGAGGTGTTTTGGGAGCCGTTGCGGCGGTGGCCGGAACGGATGGAGAGAGAGCGGTTCCTACTGCGGCGTTAGCATGGGAGTAGAATAAAGTTGAGAATGGAAGTCGGCACGGAGAGGACGTGATAGCCGCCACTCCGCAAGGGAGTTCAGACTCCTCGCTGCGAGAGGAGAAGAAACGACGCATCGTGGTCACACTGATTTTGGTGGCTTGTTGGGAGACAACATCGCTTACATGATGGCAACTGAATAGGAACGATTGGGTGATGACCCGGAGCGTCCTATTGTTCTTTCACGCGGCGCTTAGGGCCAGAGCCACGATCGGTTCTCGATATTTGGCAGGATGGAACCTGGTCCTTGCAGTTGGGATGCGCGTCTACGACCGGGGAAGGAAGGCTCTTCGATGGGATGGCAGTTCCGGATACTCAGAGCCAAGACTCGTGTGGACCTTTCCGATCGGAATCGTGCAGCAAGAATAATGCGCCGTTAAGGAAGGGAAGTTGCAGTGTAGGATGCGACAGCCGCGATGCAACAAGGGTATCAGGAAGACTTTAAGAAGGGGCACAGGGTCCTCGGCGGTTGACTCGGGAGGGAAGGGCACCGAGTGAGACAGTCATGTCATAATCTTGCAGCAGGCAGGTGGCATGCCTCACCAAAAGGAGGGGAGCCGGAGAGCAGGTAGCTCTAGCTCTAGCTTAAGCTTTAGCCATGTTGGGATCAAGAGGGCCACGAAGGCATCCAGCGCACATCCACCAACTGTGCTGTCAAGCTGTCTAGGGGTAGCTAAGAGGAGCCTTGTAGGAATGGCATCAGGCTGGCGGACGCAGCCAGCTCAATAGTTGCAAATAACGAAAGCCGAGCCGCGCCAGCCCGTCGTGTGCACTTCTCGCACTTCTACCCCAGCGTAATGTTCTCTAGAGGTGCAGCGATGATGATGATGATGAGGATGACGAAGGGTTGGGGTCGCGCTATGATGTCATGGCGGTGACGGGGGACCCAGGCGACACCTCGGGAAAAAAGGGTCTTTCCCTGCCCCTCCCAGTCCCCCTCATTATCCTCCTCCTCCACTTCTCCAATTCTGGCCCGTCGCACCGGAGTGATCACTCCACGATCACGGCTCCCGGCTGACAACCGCCCGCAGGTACTCCCACTCTGCTGTGTCGTGCGTCCCGATTGCTGGGGCCTGTCAAATGCGGCGTTCCGGCCTGGGAGCCGCCTGAATGTGCTCGTCCCTGGCCTGCAATTATTTTGCGGTTTCTCCCACACGGATGCCATCACAGATCAGTTTGGAATGCGCATTTTGTCGCGGTTTGAGCACTTATGCGTTATTATTCAAGAGTCTAGAAGATGAACTGCCGAAAAGCTAACACCAGAACCGTGATTCGTACAACGTAGATATTTCGTGACATTCATGCCGACCCAAGTATCGAAGAAAAAGACACACCGTAAATCCTATGTTACAAACGCCGTGCCCCCCCCAGTCGAGATGATGTCGCCCAGCTCTCAGACGACTCGTGAAATTCGTCGACTCTTTTGTCGAGTCGCCAGCTGGGCAAATCACATACTCAACACCGTTGTGTTGCCAAGTAGACCGACGCCATCGCTGCCTGTCCTGTGCTGCGCTGCGCTGCGTTGTCGCTCATGCTGGCTTGGACAGCGTAATAAACTTTTTTCGTCCCGTCTCTTCTCATTTCGAAACGATCATGCCGCTCCGTTGCAGCTCGTCTAATCCCCCGCCCAAAAGAAGGTTCGTCCATCCGCATTCCCGCGGAGCTAATCTTTTCCAGGGCTGAGGCTGAATTTAATCTCGGCGGTAGGTGCGGCTCGTTCGCTCGTAGACCACAGGCTCAACATAGCTGACTCGCGGGCTGTTGGCGACATACGAGCGCCTCACGCTCGTGTAGCTCGCGCGGGGCGAGTGGTGGTGGTGATGGCCATGGTGGTGGCCGTGGTGATGATGGCCGTGGTGGTGGTGGTGATATCTCGTGGGGATGACCTCCTCATGGTAGTAGTGCTTGCGGCCGCCGGTTCCGAAGCACATCTTGATGTCGTCTGTAGAGATAGCGACGTAGGTTAGGTTGTGCGTTGTATGTGTAACTTGCTCGATGTTCAGTTCTCTGAACTGGGAAGAGCGTGGTTGGGTTGGTATGAGTTGTGCTGGCCACTTCAAAATAGATATAGCCAGGTAAGTGGTAGACGGTAGATGCGGGTAGAAGATTCAACGAATGTTCTTCTGCGTAAGTGTCAGGCTATACGATGCGCCAGGCTGGAACGGGGTGTGGGCGACGGGCCGCCTTTTATGATTTCCCTACTCATCCCCCCTCCACAGATCTGGCCTGGACACATATCTCCCGTCTCCCGTTCAAGTGTGCCTTAACAAGTGCGCGCTGGTTAGTCAACGATGTCAGGGGACTCAGGGCCAAGGCGAAGCAAGTCAGTCATCCATCCCACTCTAGCATGGATGGGTGGCCCCCTCCCTCTCGCATTCAGACGGGCCCGGGAAACAGAGTGGAAAGGACGGCCCTCACCGAAAACCCTGCGTCTGCGAACAAGGAACCAACTTGGTTGGCTGGCCTTGCCGTCTAACCTTACGTATTATGCAGTTGTGGTAAGTGGCTCAGCGCATCTCTGCTGCTCTTTACTTCCAGGTTCTTGGGCGCAGCTGCCCTGGTTCTGACCCTTGCTCCGTCCCGCCGCCATCAGCAGCGACGGCAGCGGGGGACCATCGAGCGTTGGACCTGCCATCCTTGCTTTTTAGAACTGGCGCCGCCTCATTCACCAGCAGTCCAGTCCAGACCGCTGTGCAGCAGCCAGGGTCTCCCCACCTGGGTTTGATCCGCGTGAGACGGTCCGCCGAGTCGCCCTAGCAAAAGAGTCCCCGAAAAAAGGTCAGAAGTTGGATTTTATTTTGGAATCGACGAGGGCAGGGGAAAGAAGAGAGAGGTCTAAGTTGCAGAAAGTTTGGTGTTTCGAGTCACAGATCGTATAAGGCCTCAAACCAAACAAAGCTTCCTCTGAACGCCTGACTTTCTCAGCTGGCCAGAGCTGGGCTGTCGTCGAGCGAATACGGAAGCCGCCCAGAAACGGTAACAGTGACCGTTACCGTTACAGTCGTTGCGAACTCGTCCTGCAGTGAAAGCAAGAAACATCAACCAAGAAATTAACCAAAAACCTCGACGGATCCATCCCAGTGTAGACGAGCCTGGACTTCCTGCCTCATGAATGCGTGGACGATCCCATCGGTGGGATTGTCTAATTGATGACCTCCTAGTGCCCTCTGTATCGCTAATAGCAGAGTTAAGATCTGATCTTCCCAGCCGATCCACTCACACTCCGTCTTCACCGCACACACCTTGGTCAGCCCGCGACGTCAGCCTGCATTTCCCCGGCGGCTTGTAGGAAAAGCAGCAGGGATGACTTCTCGAAGACCTTCCCGACAGACCTTCCGAGGGCTAATCTTGTAGGCGTAGGCCCTACCCGTCATATTTGCTGAGGGAAAAGGCACCCTCCCACATAGCCTCAAAATGACAGCGGTCAAGCGTTTCTCAGCGCGAAGATCAGTGTGCCAGTCCAATCATGATTCTCTAAAGCCATCCGTTCCATCTGCTTTTAGATGCCGTCTGATGATAATGTACAAATGCTAGGAAAAGCCGCCTCCGAGGTCTATAGTCCGTTTTACTTCTTCTTCGCGATCGTAGGGTTCAGTCCACCAACAACCCAAGCCGCAACAAAGACAAACACCATGCTGGCGAAGACGATGAGAGGCTTCCGCAGAGCAGAAGCCACCGAGTAGTCGTATGTTACAATCACCTCACGGTCTCGGAACTCGTCAACAAGGTTCTGAGCCTTGAGGGTGACAGAGGTGCGACCGACGGTGTCGAGGTAGGTCTGGTGGACGCCAACAGCCGAGTCGGCGATGGCCGACTGGGGGATGCTGGTGTAGAACTTGACGTTCCTATTCGCAAGTTAGCGGGCCATCACAAGACGGAACGAGACCATTTCGACTTACGTGGCTCCCTCGGGGAGAAGGATGCGCAGGTTGACCTGACCGTACTCAATACCCTCGGGCTGCTTAGGTCCCTCGAGGAAAGGCACTTTGACAACGTACTTTCCGGCCTCAACGGTACGGACGAAGTTCTTGGCATCGGAGTTCCAGCCGATTGTGAAGGGGTATTTCCAGCCACCGAACACGGGGTAGCGGGGCTTGATCTCCAAGAGAGCCTCGCGCTTGTTGCTACGGAATCTCGACGTCGAAACGTTGCCAATAGCATCGGTGAAGTAGGCGTCGGCGCTGCCAACCTTCAGGGGAAAGCGCAACTCCTTCAGAGCGTAGGTGTTGGGGTTGAAGTATTGCGACTGCTGCCACTTGACACGGTTGAAGAGCTTGGACAAGTTCGCACCGCGGTGGTAGAGCTCGTATCTCTCCTCGAAAGCCACGTTTCCTCCCCAGTGGCTGACCTCGATGTCACGGTCGAGCTTGGAGACGTGGGTAACGGGCTTGGTGAACTCGAATCGCACTTGGGCCTTGGAGGCGGCACCAGCAGGCTTTTCGTCAAAGGGGCCGTATGTAAGCTTCGAGCCGGCCTTCTGAGGGAACTCCTTGATGTCACCGCTGCCAGGGAGCTTGGTGTAGTCGGGGATGTTGGACGAGTGTGACTTGAGCTCGGTCTTCTGCTTCGTCGTGACGTAGGCCGAGGGGGCGTACACTGAAAAGTCGTACGCGAGGAACTGGTTTTCCTCCTGGGCGATCGCGGCGGGTAGGGGCTTGTAGGCCTTGAGGAGGTAATAGGAGATGCTCAGGGTCTGCTGGCCGCCAGCCTTCAAGGGCGCGGGAAGCTTGATCTTGTAGTACTGGATCTCGCTGCTAGGCTGTCAGCACAATGGTGGGCACGAGAAGAATCAGGGTTGTACCGACCTCGAAGGATCGAACTCGACAGCGTCAACAGCAAAGGGTCCAGCTTCGGGGTCCTTCCTATCCTTGGCCTCGAAGCCGCCAACGCGCGACATCTGGTCGGGGGTGAATGGCAGATAGTATTCATCTTGGGGTTGCTTATCAATGTTCTCGATCAGGACATTGATTGACTCCTTGACGTAGTTCTTCTCGAGGGAGATGATGTGTACAAGATTGGCGTTCTTGAAGACCTGAGGCGGCCTGAAGGTGGATGGCTGATTGACTTCCGACTTGTCTGCCGCGGCGGAGCTTGCGACCACTGGGGAGAGCAGGCTCAGAAGCCCAGCGGCGATGGCGAAGGCTCTCATTATGTGGAAAAGTCGAGGGAGATGCTCATTTACAGAGCGCTCCCGGCAGTGAGAATCAGAAATGGAGAATAGCGGTTGTTGAGGCGCAATTGGGGCATTCACTCCATTGCCGAATTGATGATCTGGCTCCTGAGACAGCTACCCCCAGCCAAAAGCTTACGGATACGTTGCTTGACGGCGCGCACGGGCCAGGTCTAGCTGGGAACCGCCGGGTCGGGTCAATGCAAGTCCGGGAGTCCCCCCCGCCAGTCCTCTGGCACGCCACATTTCCCGGGGCAGGCCACGCGGCCAGCGTCTCTGATCTGAGGCTAAGTAGAGAGCATAGCTCCAGCCACACCTTAGCCGTCCACCTCAACGATATTTTCTGACACTTTCCAGCTTGCTTCTCGCTTAGCGTTGCGGGGCACCTGCTTTTCCAATGACGACTGGCTTCGGGTATTGGTGGGGCAAACAGCTTCTCTCTGTGCTGTGGTTGAGCTGCGATTTGCTCCACGTCACACACCGAGAGCTCCGGAGTTTGGGATGGGTGTTGTGTCAGGCGCCCTAGGTATCCAAGATCCTGGAGATGCTGGAGTTCATCCAAGATACCATCTGACCCGGGATAGGCGCCGGTCTTCAAGCCCTCCGAACACGTATAATTGACCTTACTGAAGCATGTCTCGGAGGCTCAACATAACCCTACCTAGCAAATGCTCAGAACAATTGAGTTCAGTTTAGCCCTAGGTAGCAACCCGGTCCACAACAGACCGCTATCGCTGCGGCGTTCCTGGGCGCATCCCAGCTGAGTAAGGCCGCTGCAAATCTCGTAATAATCACTGGACGGGGCTTGACGGCTCTGCTCCGCGGCACCTAGTGGGACAGACGATGAGTGAGAAAAAAAATCGCATGTCTGAAAGCTGCCAATTGGCCCCGTTCAGTCACAGCTTTGGCGATTCAAGGTGTGCTGATTTTCTACCTCAGCGGTTTCGGGGGATCAGGACTCGACCCAAGAGAAAGGCAGGGGCCACAGATTGTGCAGGAGCGTGCAGCCTAAGCCTTAAGTGTGTGCTAAAAATGAGGTCTGGTCAAGGTCCCCTGTGAGACGCCTTGCTTCCAATCCGCGCAGGACCCCTCCACGCTGCACCTTCCTGAGCCCACTCAAGAAGCTCTATTCGTACGGCCGACCTCTCACCTTCAGTCATCTGATCCACGCACCTTCGCCCTTTCCGCAACGTCACAGCAGTCGGTATCTCTCACCACCACGAGCTGCTTGACCGCCCACCTATACAACAACACCACGGATTTGTCGTCCTCGAGCATTTCACTTCATATTGAATCGACCTACATCCCCGTTGTCTCTTTCACCACCTACAACCTAAATTCGACCCCTCACCATCTTTACCCCGCCATCTTCCAGAGCTACCGGTCAAAATGGTTGGTCTTGGTCCCAAGGTCCCGCCCTCTAGGAAGGGTAAGTTCAAACTCACGATTTCTTCCATTGTTTTCCCCGGATCGACTGTCCGAACATTCGAGATGGAGGTAATGGAGCCATCGGACCCTGGTCTTTGATTGAGACAATGCTCGAGACACCCTACTCTCGAAAGTGCTGGCAATTGTACCGCTCCCACACCACGCAACTCATGCAGGCGTCACACCCTCCCGTCCTCCTCAACGCCTCATCCTCCCATCCCCATCCCGCACACACCTACATAATCGCCCAATGCCATTCCCGGCTGCCACTTTGACGTTTCCCACGCCTCCTGTGTCGGAGTACACGGTGCGCCACAAGGCTGGGCTGCTCTGCTGAGCTACTCCGACGGAGATACCCCAGGGCCAAGGGGTAGCTTGTCAAGCAGTGCCTATTTCATTGGGAAAGGTGCCCAAATACTTAGCGTTGAGCTGGGACACGGTCTCACTTATCAGACACTCCCCCACCTTCACCCCAGCTTTCTTCTTTCCCCAGAGCTGCCAGTTGGTATAACAAGCTGGCAAGCGCCATTCCTGTCTGCTTGGCTGCTTTGTGTTGACCGCTCCCTGCTTGTCTGTTGCAGTTTGCCCTTTGTTGCTCAGATCTATATACCTGCTTTCACTCCTCGATCACTGGTGATACCCTCACACAAAACAAGTCGCGTGCCCAGAGGCTGAGCAAATAGCTCGAGAGCGGTGTTTCCAAGCACAACCTTTGTCCAGTCTTATCCCTCTCACCCTTCACCATGGTCGACAAGGCAATCGCGCCCCATACAAGGGAGCGCTCCTACCACCATACCGATATCTTTAACCCCAATCCCTCACGGAAAAGCAAGCAATTCTTACCAAGGAGCCTATTTTTCTATTGCGATCGCTAACCATGAGTGAAATTCTAGGCTCCATGGCCGATGTGCCCAAGGACCTTCTTGCAGAGGTCCAGAAGCTTGAGCAGCAGTTCACGGTGCCCACCGAGAAGCTCAAGGCTATCAGCAAGCACTTCATCTCGGAGCTTGACAAGGGTGAGTCTCAACTGTTGATAAGGTCGGCGTTTGAATAGCTACTCATATAGAGATAGGTCTGAGTGTCGAGGGCGGTAGCATCGTAAGTCATGACAACAAGGACTGAGCCAGCTTCTACATGGTTTTCTGACAACAGTACTAGCCCATGAACCCGACCTGGGTTATGTCCTTCCCAGATGGCTATGAGACTGGCACCTTCCTGGCTCTCGACATGGGCGGCACCAACCTCCGTGTCTGCGAGATCACCCTCACCGACCAGAAGTCTGAGTTCGACATCATTCAGTCTAAGTACCGCATGCCCGAGGAGCTCAAGACCGGAAAGTCTGATGAGCTTTGGGAGTACATCGCCGACTGCTTGCTGCAATTCGTCGACACTCACCACCCCGACCACCCCAAGGACGAGAAGATTCCCCTCGGTTTCACCTTCTCCTACCCTGCTACCCAGAACTACATCGATGAGGGTATCCTTCAGCGCTGGACCAAGGGCTTCGACATCGACGGTGTTGAGGGACATAATGTGGTTCCCTTCCTTGAGGAGGCCCTGGCTAAGAGAGTGAGGGCGCGAAAGGTCCTTGGATTTGCCGCATGTGCTAACATGTCCCTAGAACGTCCCTATCAAGCTCACGGCTCTGATCAACGATACTACCGGTACTCTGATTGCCTCGGCGTACACCGACACCAAGATGAAGATTGGCTGCATTTTCGGCACTGGTTGCAACGCCGCCTACATGGAGAACTGCGGCTCCATTCCCAAACTTGCCCACATGAACCTGCCCCCTGACACCCCTATGGCCATCAACTGCGAGTGGGGTGCCTTTGACAACGAGCACCAGGTCCTGCCTCGCACCCCCTACGATATCATCATTGACAAGGATTCCCCTCGTCCCGGCCAGCAAGCGTTCGAGAAGATGATCGCCGGCCTCTATCTCGGTGAGATCTTCCGCCTGGTCCTTGTTGACCTCCACGACAACAAATCCATCCACATCTTTGAGAACCAGGACATCGCCAAGCTCCGCAAGGCCTACACCCTGGACTCCTCCTTCCTGTCCGCCATCGAGGAGTACGTAAAACTCTGGCACCCTGTGTCCGTGTAAGAACTGACATATCACAGCGACCCATTCGAGAACTTGCAAGAGACCAGCGATCTGTTTGCCTCCAAGCTTGGCCTCAAGGCTACTCGCCCCGAGCTCGAGCTCATCCGCCGTCTTGCTGAGCTCATCGGCACTCGTGCTGCCCGCCTCTCTGCCTGCGGTGTCGCCGCCATATGCATGAAGAAGGGCTACGAGAGCTGCCACGTTGGCGCTGACGGTTCGGTATTCAACAAGTACCCTCACTTCAAGGCTCGTGGCGCCCAAGCTCTCCGCGAGATCCTCGACTGGCCCGCCAAGAAGAGCACCAAGGAGGAGGACCCTGTCGAGATTCTTGCTGCAGAGGACGGTAGCGGTGTTGGTGCCGCTCTTATTGCCGCCCTGACCCTGAAGCGCGTTCAGCAAGGCAACATGGCCGGCATTCTGCACCCTGAGAACTTCAAATAAAATCCCAAAGGAGCGGTATGAAAAAGGAAACGCGATAAGGTTACAGGATTAGACGGGATTTTGCTGATTCGGTTCCTATCTGGACGGGCTCATATGGTTACGTTCACCAAAGCTTTTAGATAGCTCATACAATCAGTATCCCTATCTGGGAGTTAACCCAGGAATGTGCACGTCGGCAGTCGAAATTCTGAAGTGGTATTAGTATGTGACCAGTGAGGTAAAGTCGGGGGTTAACTCACTGTCCAAAGTCCAATACCGGCGCTTCACACCTTCCCACTCTCCCTTGCCTGCCTCTTCCAGACCCTTCATGTCGACGTCCATTTCATCCCATTCGATGTCCAGGCCTGCATCGGCCATGTGCATCTCCACAACCTTGGTATAAACATCGTAGCATATCTTGCGGTCAGCTCCAAGGCCGTTAAAGAAGCTGAAACGGCCGGCCTCGTCCATCAAGCCAGGTATGTACTCCGTGAAGAACATCTTCAGCTGGCCGTAATCCTCGCCGAAAGTGTCGAAGTAGATAGCATCGTAAATTTCACCCTCCTCCAGTAGCTTGGGCACGATATCCTGCCAGCGTCCGCGGTGGATCTTGTATGCGCCCTCCTCGGGTCCACTCGCCTCCCACGCTGCCCCGAATTTGGAGTTGGGCTTATCGATGTGCTCGAGCACCTCGGGATGCGCCTCAATGACATGGTGTCTGGAAGGCTTGGTCTCGGCAAACATGGCGTCGATGATGCCCATACCGAAGCCGACGTTGAGGATCCGCTTGCCAACAGCCAGGCCAGGGAGGACAGCGTCGACGCTCTTGCGCATGATTTCTGTTTCCCAGGCCATCATGACGCCGTTGCCGCCGTCGTCGACAAGCTTGCCGTCTGAGTAGGTCAGGTTTGAGCGGAGGTACTCTTCCGATTTGACGTCCGAGTCGGCGACCGTCGGCGGTACGAACTTCTTCTCCACCTCGACGAGCTCGGGGGCCTCTTCACCATCTTGAACGTCAGCCTCCATGGCTTCGGCTTCCTCGATCACCTCCACCTCCTCGTCTTCGTCCATCTGAGAGCCCAACTCCTCGTAGCCGTCCAGCAAGCCGAACAGCAGCTCGGCGCGCACGCCAGCCTCTACGCAGAGCTTGTAGAGCTCACTTTGGCCTAGGCGCTGAGCAAGGCAGCCTGGTGTCTCGTTGTTGGCATCGACGTCGTTCCAGATGGCGCCTTTCAGGAAGAGCTCGTAGACCGTCTCCTTGGCCTCCTCGATATCACCATCCTCCTTTGCAGGTCCGCATGCGCGGATCGCGGCATGGAGAGGTGTCTCGCCGGTCGTGGGGTCTTGCACGCTTGCTTTGCCAGGGGCATCGAGGAGCTTCTTTAGCTCGGAAACATCATGGCTCCAGGCGTGGAGGAGGATTTGTCGGGTCTCCTCCGGGCAGTCGGTGGTGATGCGCGCTTGCAACGAGTCGTCGATCGCCATGGTTGCGAGGTAAGGGGTTGACCGGGTGCGAGCCAAGGGCGGTGTCCGTATCCGGAGTGTCTGGGATCGGAAGGAAGGATTCGGGTTTGAAAAGACTTCGATCGGGGATCGGTGCGGCGGGGACCGGTCCGTGGTAATTTGGAGGCCGGCCGGCGCAAAGCAAGCCTTGCAACAAGTTTTCTCTCGACGGCTCCGGGTGGTAGTCCCCCGCCGCTGCAACCCCGCCATGGGCCCCCCAAAAAAAATTCCTTCCTTGCACTGAAGGCGCTGTGACGTACGGGGATGCACGTGCTCCTTTGCCGTTCTCAATTGGCCAATGCCCCCTGCCAAGAGCTCTGAGTAGCAGCGGGTACTGGGCCCAGACGGCCTGGAGCTAGCCGCGTCTAAGCTGCATTTTACTGGGTTTGGGGCTCCATCGTCAGAGCCACTTCTGCTGCAGGCCAGGCAATCCCCCCTGCCGGAAGCTTGTCTCGTAAACCGTCGGCCGCTTCCATTCCATCGCCTCCCATTTGTTTTGCCTGGGCGACCCGACCGCGACAGGCGAACGTTCCTCAACTTGCGCATCTTTCGCACCAACTATTGGAACATTTTACTCCTGCGCCATCCGGGTAGTACGGCTAAAGAGCTGCATAGGTGAGACCCCATCTCCATTACGAAAAAGATATCCCTTTCGATAGACTCCACCGTTTCCCTGGAACCTTGGTCAACCTATGCCTCAAAAAGCAAAAGGCACCATCCTTGGTTCGGTTGGAAGGCTTTCTCCGACAACAGACTTTTAAGTCCCTAGTCTCTAAAAATGGTCTCCTTTCGGCGCGACAATTCCTCATGCTAATTGTCCACGACCTGAAGACACAGGAACGAACTTGGCGACCGAGTCTAGCACCCAGCGAACCCTGGCGCGCCCGTCCTGGAATCGTCGTCATGAAGTTCGGCGAGCAGCTCCGTTCGAGCGTTATTCGCGAGTACCAGTGGTACTACATCGACTACGACGCCCTCAAGGCCGACCTCAAAACAGCCACTGGCCCCGTCATCTCGACCGACAATGGCAAAGGCAAGGGCATTAAGCGCGAGTGGTCCGAGGAGGATGAGGGCCGCTTCGTGAAAAAGCTCGAGGCCGAGCTTGACAAGGTGCACACGAAGCAGCAGGTGAAGGCCATGGAGATTTCGAGGCGCATCGCCGTGAGCGAGCGCGAGGTTAGAGGCGTCGTCAATCGTCTCATCGAGCGCGGCCCTCGCGAGGATGGCCCCAGCGAGGAGGAGTTCATGCTCTTGGAGGAGGACTTGAGCGACATCATTGCCGATGTGCATGATCTTGCCAAGTTTGTCCAGCTCAACTATACTGGGTTCTATAAGATTATCAAGAAGCACGACGTAAGTTTATGCCGCGACTTCGGCAGCGGGATGTTGGGCTAATGCGACGCAGAAAATGACTGGCTGGCACCTCAAGCCCGTTTTCGACACCCGCCTGAAGGCGAAGCCTTTCTACAAGGAGAACTACGATGCCTCCGTAGTGAAGCTGTCGAAGCTGTACGACTTGGTGAGGACGAGAGGAAACCCGGTCAAGGGTGACAGCGCCGCTGGTGGCTCTCAGGGAAGCTTCGTTCGTAACACGACGAAATACTGGGTCCACCCCGACAACGTGACCGAGTTGAAGCTCATCATCCTGAAGCACTTGCCTGTCCTGGTTTTCAACGCCAGCAAGGAATTTGAGACGCAGGACTCGGCAATTACGTCCATTTACTACGACAACCCGAGTGCCTGGGACCTGTACGAGGGCCGTCTGAAAAAGACGGAGGGAGCCGAGGCTATCCGTTTGAGATGGTACGGTGGAATGCAGAGCGAGAATATCTTTGTTGAGCGCAAGACCCATCGTGAGGACTGGACAGGAGAAAAATCCGTCAAGGCGCGTTTCTCTCTGAAGGAGAAGAACGTCAACTCGTACATGCGAGGTGAGCTTCTGCCGGCAGCTCTCTTCGAGAAGGCGCGCAAGGAGGGCAAGAAGCCTGAGAAGCAGATTGCCGAGGACGAGAGGCTCGCTGCGGAAGTCCAGTACTCTGTTCTCAAGAAGGGTTACAAGCCCGTGTGCCGGTCCTTCTACAACCGCACTGCCTTCCAGCTCCCCGCCGATGCTCGTGTCCGTATCTCTCTGGACACTGAACTCACCATGGTTCGGGAAGACAACCTCGACGGCGTCAACCGCTCCGGCGACAACTGGAGGCGCATGGATATTGGTATTGACTACCCCTTCTCGCAGCTTCCGCCAAGCGACATTGTGCGCTTCCCGTATGCGGTCCTCGAAGTCAAGCTGCAGACGCAGCTTGGTCAGGAGCCTCCGGAATGGGTGCGTCAGCTTATATCCAGCCATCTTGTTGAGGCTGTGCCCAAGTTTTCCAAGTTCATCCATGGAGTTGCTTGCCTATTCCCCGATCGCATCAATCTGCTTCCCTTCTGGATGCCGCAGATGGATGTCGATATCAGAAAGCCGGCTACACACGACTTTGGTATCCACAGACCAAACCAGTCGGCGACGGCTACAACATCAGATGACGAGGATGATGACCTTGACTCTGATGACGAGGAGGGAGCTTTGATAATCAGCAACAACGGTACCACGAACGGGGAGTCCAGTCGCCAAGGAGCTGCGAGGAATGGAGCGGCCGATATCGAAGACCAAACGACCGATGCCCTCGAAGGCGAAGACTTCTTGTACGACTCGGACGAGGAGTACGATGCGGACGAAGTTCTGGAGGAGGCGCGCAGAGTAGGCGGCTGGACTTACTATTCGACTTTGGCATCAACGAAGGCCCGCGCTTTCGGGCAGGGTGCTGTCGATGTGTTGAAGTGGGCTGTGCCTCATCCCCGTGGCTCAGTGATTCCTAGGCGAGATGCAACCACGCAGCTTTTTGGCACCGGCCCTGTTCAGACTAAGAGGTTCAAGGCACCCAAGGGCAAGAAGATTTACGTCCCCGTCCGCGTTGAGCCCAAGGTATACTTCGCGGCGGAAAGGACCTTCCTAGGCTGGGTAAGTTGTCATTAGAATCTGACATCAGAATTACTGCTGACTTGATCATCTAGCTCGAATTCTCAATCTACGTCGGCACTGTCGCCGTCACGCTGCTCAACTTCGGCTCCAAGCCTACCAGTGCCTCGTTCATCGTGGCCGGAGTCTTCACTTTGCTGGCCATTCTGTCGCTCTGCTACTCTGTCGCAATCTACCTGTACAGAAGCCAGGCAATTCGTACCAGGAGAGCGGCCAAGTTCTACGACCGTTGGGGTCCCAGCGCGCTTTGCGGTGCGTTGTTCATCGCCGTGGTACTCAACTTTGCTTTTGAGGGTAGAGAACGTCAGTACTGGTGAGCCTTTATGTTTTTATCCCCCGGAAAATAGATTCCTTGTATCTTGTAGTATGAAGCGGGTGCTCTATGGTCGATCAGCATTGGTGGTTCTGTCAAACCTGTTTCGTTTGTTGTGATGCATTTTGGTGCCATATCATTGAGTATTGGATATATCTGTACCTAAGAAGAGAAAAAGTAGACAAGAATGAACGGATCGAATGGGTCAAGATAAGGTGCTAACCATGATCGCGCTGCCCTATCCCTAGACTTATGGATTGACATGTAAAACTTGCACAGGTGCGCGCTTTGCTTCCAATCCTGCGAGGCCTCAATGCTCCAATGATATACGTTCTTGCCAGCACTTCTTGCCGTTTTGAGCTCGACTGTCGTGCCCCGTAGGATTCGACTTTCCAAGCTGACGTGAGCACCCAAGCTTCTGGTAGCCGAATCCGACGTTGCGAATGACATGCAACCTTGTTTGTCTACCTAACCCAATCCTTTTTCGCCTATTGGTGCTGTGGGATAAAATACCCTGTTGAGCATAATCGTTCTTTTGTAGCTCAGATTGGAACACCGCCCCACAACCCCGACATCTCAGGTCGTTGACAATGGCTGGTGGAGATCGAGACACATGGAGGTGCAGGCGGCTAAAGGCACCTTCGCAGCTTCCATTTGCCTCCCTGGAAGCGGTGGGTATGTCTTACTTGCTGCCTACCTAACCCCTCTTTGGCTGGACGATATCGCAGGACCGATGGATTTAGACCCTTAAATCCACTCCATACCTTAGGTATCTTCGTGGCGTTCATCTTCCCGAACTGGCGGTCGTGTCAGCCCCCGCTCAGCCGTCATAGTCCTCAGCTTCTTACTTTTATAGTTGCTTGAACCCGTTCTGTTTCCAAACCACAGTTGGATCTTCATTTCCGCCAAGCAGTGGTTTCAACGACGAATCATGCCTGTGCTCAAACCAGCTTCAGAATTTGGTCGTTGCGTGCCTCCAGATTCCCAATATGGCATCACAACCTACGCACCGGGTTGGGATTCCGCCATTGCCTTCCGTGAAGGCGATCCAAACATTATGAAGCGGGTCGTTCACATATACCCAAGGTTTGGGCCATTTGGTCCCGTTGGAGAGGTCGGCTTTTCCCGAACTAACACGCAATGTCGATATGTTTGACATCGAGACCCCGTCCGTATCATGTAGTTGAAGTATGCACCCACTAACGTACATCCATCCAGACTCTCAGAGCCATCTGCGCCAAAATCAAGACACCAGAGGGTCACGGAGCCCTTTACTTCACTTCGCCCCGGTCTCTGGATGCTGTCCGCGCTCACTCTACCCATCCTAACCGCAAGGAGAAGGTCTTGGCGGAAAGTGATCTCGGACATCGCTGCGTCGACATTGGAGGTGTGCGCATCTACCTTGTGACGTTCCCCGCCGCGAAGACGCCTGGAGTCATTGGAGCCTGGCAGAATCCTGGTATCGGCGTTTCCATCCGTCTCGCAGAGTACTTGCACAAGAACATTGACTCTTTGACCGAAGTCGACTTCCCCAACGGTTCGGCGGTGCCTCCCACAGAGTACTTCCCGCAGGGGGAAGCCCACAGCAGGCTTAAAGACCGCATTATGGGGCTTCTGCACAGAGCTGCCATCGAGCCAGAGAAGATCAAGCTCCAGACCAAGGATGTGTTCTTGTACCAGACGGGCATGGCTGCCATTTTTAGTATTCACCATGCGCTGCTGCAGTATCGCCCCGGCAGTGTGGCGATTCTAGGCATCGCCTTTCACAGCACCGTCCACTACATTCAAGAGAACTCACCCCATGACTATGAGCATTTCGGTCCCGTTGATCCCAAGGGCATAGATATCTTTGAGGTGTGGCTGGATGAACAGGCCGCCGCTGGAAAGGATGTGAGCTACGTTCTCACCGAGTTCCCTAGCAACCCTCTGCTGGCGAGCATTGATCTTGCTCGTCTGAAGAAGCTGGTCAGTCTGGTTTTGTATTTCAGTTGATCAACATTCCAAGACTGACACGGGCAATAGTCCGAGAAGCACAACTTCGTTCTCGTCCTTGACGACACAGTCGGATCATTCGCCAACATCGACGTTATCGCACATTCAGACATCCTTGTATCATCACTCACAAAGACATTCTCGGGGTACGCCAACGTCATGGGAGGCAGCGTCGTCTTGAACCCTCTCTCGCCACACTACGACGGCCTCTTCTCTCACTGGACCATGACTTTCCACAACGAACTCTTCACCGCCGATGCTGAAGTTCTCCTGTCCAATTCAGACGACTATCTTGCCCGCTCTGTGATCCTCAACCGCAACGCCGCGGCCATGGCCAACCACCTTCAGCGCCTGGCTGAAGACACTTCCTCGCCAGTATCTAAACTTCTGTACCCAACGTGTCTCCCAGACTATGATATTTACAAATCCTACCTTCGGCGGCCAACCCCAGAACTCGAGGAGCCAGGCGCGGGCTGCTTGCTCAGCATCGACTTCGAGTCCGTCGAGACGGCGAAAGCATTTTACGACCGCCTCGCGTTCTATCCAGGTCCGCATCTTGGCGCTCACCGCACGCTCAGCTTCTGCTACAACACTCTTGCATTCGGTAAGGACGCCGACGAGGCGGCGTACCATCGTTCGTATGGTATTTTGGAGGAGACGATACGGATATCGGCGGGGCTGGAGGACGTGCAGGATCTACTGGACACACTTGACGACGCGCTCGTGGCCGCTAATGAAGTCAAGGAGCAGCGGTTGCAGGCGCCTACGACGGTCGAAGCGGTGGCTGGTACTGGTGTTGCCTCGTAGGAACGGGCACTTGAGTCGAAGTCGCCGTCGCGGCTTCATCATTGAACCCCTAGCTCTCACTCTCTTGGGCGCACACGTAACCATATTCGGTTGTGAAGAAACAAAGTCATCCAATCACCAAGCTACAAAACTCGCCATATGTGAGATGAACCATCCAACTTGGACCAAACACGTATGGAATCAGGACATCTCCCCTCTTGCTTGTGCTTGTTGTCTGGCTGTAGTGGTTGGCCCTCGCTAGTCTGTGACCTAGCCAGTAGGAGCAGAAACACTCTTGTCCTGTTTTCGTTGCCGTCGGACACGTGAATCGATGACTCTTCTCCTTGGGTAATCGCAATTCATCAATTAGAATTTGCGGCCAGCTAACCCCCTCTGGCCAGCAATCTCTGGACAAACAACACTATACAAGCCTCACAAATACAATCACAGGGGCCAGAGAGCACAATCATACGGTATGTGTCGTATTTCTCCAACTGCTACCAACTGCAATCTAATGCCAACCAAGAGAAGACGCAAAAACCATGAACCCCAAGTCTCCGTAAACAAAGGCGCCGCCGTCGGTCAGGGGGGGTGGAGGGATATTAAGAATCGTAGCGAGGGTATCTACATCTTGTCATGATTCCTTGGACCGCTACCAAAGATTTGTTTGCAGAAGGAAAAGAAAAAGAGATATCAAAAAAAAAAAAAGCCGTTGCTGCGTCGTGTGTGCGTGTGTATGTCATGCCTCTCGTCCCGTCAACCACTCTTTCTCCTCTCTCGGCCTCTGGTATCGAAATGTTCCATCCATCTCCTTCTACAACGAGCAAACAACGCACGCAAAAGCCAAAAATTGAAGACCGAGGAAGCCAACGCCGCCTCCGTTCAAGAAGAAAACATCGAGCTCATAAACTTCACCTTCCTCACCTCCGGGGGAGGTTGTTACGGCCGTATGCGCCCGCACCACCTGAGTTCCATCCTTGGTTTACGCTGTTCTTGACGATAAGTGCCGCAGCGGCGGCGGCCGCCTGTCGCTCCTTTTGTCTGTGTCTTTCGCGAAGGTACGGAGCCGCCTCCGGCCTCATGCGGAGAATGCGGAGAATCATATCGTCGCTGGGATCCGCCTGGGCCTCTTTGCGCTTCTCCTCCTTGGCCCGCCGCATCGTTCCCAGATTTCGACTCATCATGATTGACTTGCCGCGACGGATCGTGCCCATGCTAGCAAAAGAGCCGGGACCACCGCTGAAGGTTGGACCGAAAGTCGCCGGGGCGGATAATCGGTTCTCATGCTTTTCCTGCAGCAACATCTGCTGCGCCCGCTGAGCGTTGGCGGCTGCCATACGCTCCGACTCCCGAATGAGATTCTGTGTTTCCTCGAAATAGAAGAAATTCAGAGCCGCCAGCTCATGCCACTTGGGAGACCTCAAAACCTCCTGCGGTACACCCAGCTGCTCGCCGCTTTCGTCCTTGGCATTGAAAAAGTCGAAAAGCATCTCCAACCACCTATAAACGATGTCCGATTCTTTCTGTGACAACGGTCTCTGTGACGACGGCTTTTCTGAAAGAGGGGGTACCAGAAGGCTCTCAACCGCCATGAGGACTTCCTTCCAGAGGCGTGTCATGACTGCCAACATTGTGGCATCCGTTAGCGTTTCCTTCATAATGGCGAAGTTCTGATCAAAGTAGTGGAAAAGAGGTTGCAAGGCGCTCTCGATGTCGGCTTGGGTAGTGACAACGGGCATCGTAGACGCTCGCTTTTTCCACAAGGCAGTCACGGAAGATCCGATTCCGTTACCCTTTAGTAGACTTCGCAAGGTCTCATGGGATATGGTGGCGCTGATCTGAGCTCGGAGCTGATCGGGTATTAGCAGTCTTTTCTCCGTCAGTGACATACATGTGCTTGCTTACCTTATCCGTGATCTTGCGAACCATGTCTCGTTCCGTTCGCTTAAGATGCCTGAATGCCTTTCCAAAGTAGAACTGGATGTCGTCTCGCTCGCCTTCCATGCTAACACGCAATAGAACTCTGCCTTGCGTATCCAAATCCAACCAGTATTCTCGTGGCAGGTAATCACTAAAGTGGATAGGGTCAAGCTTTAGTGATGTACGGCCAACAAAGTCGTGGTCACCAAAGGTGTCGTAATCCCAAATGGTGGCGATGACGTTGAGAGGACCCGATACGGTGATATCGACCGATTCGTCCCATCGTGGGTTCAAGTTCCTGTACACGATACGCGTCTTGTAGAGACGCTTCTGGTACTCGTCTCCAAGCACCACGTAAGGATCGCTGTAACCACCAGGATCGCATGCCTTCAGGTCTTCGGCTTCGACGACCTTGATTGTAAAGACATACTTGTTAGGCCGTCTTGATTGCTGCTTAGCACCTTCCGCCCGCCGCAAAACATCAGCGCATGCGTCAACGTTCATGCTCTTTTCTAGTTTATCCAACTCCTGCATGGCGTATTCGATGTTGTTAAGCTTGACAAATGACTGCGGATAGAACTGGAAAGGCTCGGGCGCTTCCTTGCTGTTCCAAGCATCCCGAGCAATCTGAGCATATTGCTTGAACATTTCCTGGGTTGTCTTGTTCGCCGCCGCTTCGTCCTGGGCAGTCGGTCGGTCCATCTCCTTGGCGAACATCTTCTCAACTTCTTCACAGTACTGCCCAATTCCAGCTGCAAAAGAACGGGCAAGGGCAGTCATGAATCGGGCGTGGTGAACATCACTATCCCACTCGAGCTGATAGACCTGTTCCGTGGTTTGCCTGAAGAACATGAACATGTCAATGATGGACAGACTGTGGCGCTCGGCGTCGCTGGGAATATCGTCGGGACTCCGTTTGCGAACTTCAAAATCGTCTATGTTGATGGCGTTCCCCACGAAGTCAACCATCATAGTCTCAGCGTTACGCACCCATCTCCAAACGAAGTCCACAAGGAGCTCCTCAATCTGAAACTCGAACGGCTTGTCTGGTAGAGCAGCGTGGTGAGTTTGTCGTAGTGAGACTAGCTCTTTATAGAGATCAAATCCATCTTGCATGTTGATTTCCACACCCTTCTCCTTCGCAACGGCAATGGTTCGTTCAATGATGTGCTGTGCGTCTCGCTCGAAACTTGGAAACATTACTTCGACCAATACTTGCCAAGGTTGAACGCCCATGATGTCGGGAATGTTTTTGTACCGCTTCTTGATCTTGTCAGAAAGCTTCGTCACAGCCCGGCCAAGTTCGACAACATGTGTGAACTCCCATTCGGAAGCGTGATTGGGGAGTTTGTCGTGTACGAAGGCATTATAGACCTCTGTAGCGGCACGCTTCAAACCCTCCGTAAGATGGTTGGCGAATTCCCGAGTCTGTTCTGGTTTCGGAGAAAACGCAGGATCCTGCAGAATGTGCTCCTCAAGAAGCATCATCACTGATACAATTGGTGGCGGCTTGGACTCGTAGCATCGAATCATGAGATCGTAGAGATCTCGTAGGAGAGCATCATAGAGCGCATTCAATGTTTGCTGGTAGATGGCAAAATCATGCATCGTCCAGCGACTCTGGTCGATGGAGGCTAGTCCGAGGTTGTACTGATGAAGATGTGGGGGCTTCTTCACTTCGGGCGAAGAAGACTTGACGTATTCCATGGCGACAGATAGCTCATCCGCACCAATCTCTCTGTCTAGAAACTTCTTGGCAGACGCTTCAACGAAGCAAACCAGTCTCGAAAATTGTGGGATGCGCCAGTAGACGCAAATTTCGATGAGTAGATCGGTCGACTGTTTAGAAATGGGCGTCCATTCGGCAGCAGGATCTGCATGCAATTGATCATATGTCATGCACACCTGCAGTATGGCCTTGTAAAACGCTCTTGCGTCTGGGGGAATAAACGTGTAGACGGCCTCCTCAAAGCTCTCGTTGGAATCTTCGAGTCCCAAAGAACCGAGTCCAAGGGAGCTGTCGAAGTTGAGAATGGACCCATCGGGACTAGAGATCGCCTTGCTGATTTCGGAGTACGCCTGCTGGTTGCCAAACATGGACATGGGTCGCCCAGGGAGAGGCTTATCAGCTCCTGATGACGTCTTAGCAAGCTCGGGTCGGACTGTCAAGATGTCGAGGATGATCTGTGACAGATGTGGTGCTTCGGATCCCTTCCACTCTTGAAAAGCGTCTTCGAGGTCGAAGTCCTCGCTTCTGAGAGCGCCAGGAGCATCAGAGGCGAGACGCTGCTGATACGCTTTTACGTCCTTCAGGGCAGATTCCTCAGTCCAGACTTGGCGGTTGGCATCGATATCGGTCTGGACTTCAGAGTTCAGGCGGCCAAATATGCGAGCTACCGTTAGAACCAGCGGCATATCTTTCACGTCGTAGCTCAAGGGGACGATAACCTCGATCGTGGTGCCACCGTCCTGGCTGGCGTCAATAGAAAGGTTCTGATCCCTAGTAAGCAGCTTGTTCTCCAACGTGTGCAGTCGGCTCATCAACTCGGGTCTGTCTCTGTCGTGCCCCTGATCGCGCAGGGTTTGCGCCACCAGTCGAATAAACATGGCCATATGTCTGTCGGCCACTTCCTTCCACGAATCGTCAGCTGCCGAGGTTAACGCGGCATGCTTTTGGTTTGCTTTGGTAGCGGAAGAATAGAACATGAGGACGTATGGCTCCAGCTTGCGATCCTTCTCGACAGACTTTTGAAAGTTCTTCTCGGTGAAGGCTGTGTAGGCTTCGGCGAAGCTGCGCTTGAGAGCTGCATCATTGAAACCCTGCAACGGCTCCTTTCCGGTGAGAACATTCTTAATTCTCTTCTCAAGAGGTTTTTGGAAGCCATGCGGGAGCTTGATGCTGTTGGAGCCGCCGGAGACGAACTGCCCAACAAGCTCTGTGACGCTCGTGTGAGACCGCTGAGCAGGTTTTGGTGCGGGCACATATTGCTTTCGCTTCTGTCTCGGTTGCAGAAGATAGTTGAGGTAGGCGACACGTAGGGCAAATGTGTATGCATCATCGTGGCTGACGACAGCAGCTCCTCTGGAAAATCCTCTTGGTCTGGTGCTCAGGCGGTTGCTACTCAGACCACGGTTTGGCATCCACGAGCTCCTAGAAGCGGACGACATGGTCGCAAGTGGTGCGTAAAAGCGGGGATTCGACGATCGGATGTATACGACGATATCGAGAGAGTGATTATGTCGAAAGAGTAGTCATTCTCGATCCTGCGTAGTATGGCCAGGTGTGCAAGGCCCAGGTATTATTACCTCGACTTGAGGTACTGGGGGCAAGGCAGTCGACGGGTAGCGGTGGGCAGTCGTCGAGATCGTGGCCGTGGTAAATTCGTCGTGTGCCGTGATAGGCCGCAGCTCGGCTAGTTGTCAAAGAAGCAGTCTGGGTCAGCGGAGGCGAAACGAGTTGGCCGGTCTCTCGTCAGAAAGGAGGTGGACGACTTGAAGTCGTAGAGGGCGGCCGTGGAGGTGGAGGATCGGTGGTGGTGTTGTACGGTCAAGCAACCGCTCGGGGACCCTCTGTAGGTTTGGGGTTGATGTTTGGCCAGCAGGTGACACACGTCATTGGCAGAAAAGGGGATTGTGGTGACTGCCGGGACCCCTTGTACTTTTCAGGAAAAGGTGGCACGGTGGTACCTGCGGCCCTGCGCGGCGCTAAGCTGCCCCAGTCAAAGGTATTTCTGTAGGGTGGCCACTGGGCTTGACTGGGCCACAGCGCCTGAGGGCCGCAGAGTCAGGTTCCATACGATGTGCTTTCTCGACCAGAGCTCACTCCTCTTTCCTTCTAATTAGCATGTATCGGGTATCGATGATGCCTGACGGGACCGGGCTATGGGCACACTGAGATGGAGGGGAGGGGGGAACCACAGGCCACTACAGCTCTGGCCTGACGAAACGACGTTCTCTTCCAACCTGGAAGTGTAAGGTAGGGCCAGCCCGGGACGGGAGCTGCTCAGTGGTGCCTCTGCCAATGGATCTACACGGCCTGGCCCTGACATCTCAAGGGAGCCATGCGGCGAAGATGATGACCAAGGGCAAAAGGCAAAGGCAAAAAGCAGCAAAGGTTTCGTTGGTGAATCACCTCGATCGACTGCCCAAGGGGGAGGATGCGTTCCTTTCGAGGTCTGTTTCAACAGGGCTTTTCTTTTCACCAAGGAGCCGCCTCCATTCCCCTGATTGATGACACCCAATTGCACGACATGTGTGTCCAACCAGAGAGATACTCGAACAGCATCTCATCATCGTGTCTTGAATGGCAGCTGCTGACTGGCTCCTGCAGCCATTGCCTCAAACCATGTTCAAGCCTTCTGTCGCTGCAACAATCTTACGTCCAACGGCATGCTGCAATTGCATTGCAGGCAACGGGACGGCAACTCTACCGAGAAAACAGAACCAACATCACATGTTTCCGGCCGGCATTGTTTCTTGGCTGCTTGGGTGCTTTTTTCCTGCTGTGTTTTCTTTTCGTGTTCTCCACCGCATCGCCCGAGACCCAGGGCCATCTCCGTGGCTGCTCGCACCAGCAAATCAGTGTGGTTCGTCCGGACCATGGACGAGCGGTCTGAACGCGCATGTCCGTCATGCGGCGGCAACTCTTCATTTCCCGGCTCTTATCACACTCACCATTATCATTTCTGATGGTCGCTGCCGACCTTATACTATCGGCAGCCAATCATCAACAAGCCATACCACAAGCATCTGTCACTTCGGAGTGAACACGGATTCCATTGCAACTTGCAGGAAACATGACGGTCCCATGGATGATCGGTTTGCATACCTTTGCGTAATGGGCAAAGTCGGTGTTAGTCAGTGTCTGGCAGAATACGAGCATACCGGCCGACACGACGCGCGATGCGATGAGATACGTTGGTCCAACCTGCACAAGAAACGCCATACGAATGTCTAAACCAACGGTGAATCGACGATGCGTCTCAACGACTAATAAATCAAGCAGCAGCAGTAGCAGCAAAAGCACCCGGATTGCTTGCTGCAGAATGCAGTGCAGTACTCTGTACCGTGGCAGACAATCCGAACGCGACCTCCCTAATCCCGTCGACGAGCTAACTAACACGTCCGTCCCAATTTTGTCCGAGGATCTTCCTTGCCGGAGGCTAGGAAACTGGGGATTGCATGGTCTGTTGTTTATTCCATACATGGTTTGCATGCGGCTGTCAGAGCAGCAATAAGGCGCAAACTAGAGATGCCCAACCTCAAGTTCAAGTTCACCCAAAGAGGCATTGTCACGTCACAGGCTGTGGTCCTGTGGTCGCGGGCCGACCGAGGACTTGGGCTGGCGATTTGATTGAGGAAACGCCAACAATAGGTGACGGTCCACAGAAATGCGAGGAGTCGTTCGGAGTCAGTCGCATGCGGCATCGTCAAGGCGGCACGTCGCATAAGCTCGCACCGGCCAGGCGGTTGCGCAGGAACTACTGGCTGGCAGGGCTTTTGACTTTGGCCTGTCGCACGTTTCTCGCGCGCAGAAGCATCTTCTACCGCAGCGGCAGCAGCAGCAGAAGCATCCAAAGGGAGGGCACGCAGGACTCTGAAACGAGGTGTTGGTTCCTCAGGTCGCGTGGGCTGCTGCCGGTGCCGAGTTTGAACGACCCAGGTCCGTTTGACCCGTTGGGTGAAAGCTAATCCAACAAACAAGAGTGAGGTGATTTGAGGAGGAGTGGTTCTCGTGCTGCAAGCCGCGAAATGATGCTGGCAAAAGATCAGCGATTGACTTTTACGCTGGTGGTCTGGCCGACTGGGAAGCCCCTCTCCAAAACCCCTCCTCTTGCGCAGGCGTCCCTTCGAAACGTATCTATCTGGCCCCTTTTCCTCCTCCTTGGTGCAGCAGGATGGAATGTGGTGAATGGCTTTTGTCGGTTGTCCTTGTCTTGGCGCGACTCGGTCTGTGAGCAGCCGTTCAATACCGACATTTTTTTTATATTCAACGGCGATTTCGAAGACAAGCAATTGGATTTGTTCCATTAGGTAAGGCGACTGTCGAGCGTCCTTGCATCTGGCTTCGCTTCCCCAAGTCGGGAGGGGCAACGACGACGGCAGGGGACACGGCGGAGGGGCGTCGTCCAGTCAGCTTCTCTGGAGCGCTTCAACGTGCAGGGCAGGTGGTGTGGTGATCCCATGTGCTGCGGTCACTGTTGACGGACATTTGTGCTGCTGACCCCACCGCGAGACCGCTAATGAGAGGCCGCCGTGGTGGTGATTCTGCGATCTACCGACCTACTTGTGCGCGCGCATAGCGTCCCTGAGATGAGCGTGATTGATGCCCAGCATTTGGAATCGCAAGCCTGCCTTCCTAGCAAAAATCACCCGCTAGGCATAGCGAATTTGATGCAGGAGTCAGGACCGGTGCAGACGACGGAGGACCTCACCTTAAGGTCTATCATAGCCTGTATCCGCAGTGTACTACCTGCTAGGTACGCAGCAGGTAGGCAAGTGGACAGGGGTCGGGGTAAATGTGAATCGGCGCCAATCTCGTCTTTGCCAACCTTGAGCCCGGAGTGGGCTTGATTCAACGTCACAACGGGGAGGTTCCTGAGTCCCGTCCTTGACTCCTTCCTGTGGCCCTCCACGTCCCGGCTAGCCAGAGTCCCTGACACCCTTTCCCAAAAAGCCAAGGTGCCCTGCTTGGTGCCTGTCCAGCTGTGCGTGTGGAGAGAGAGAGAGAGGGAGTGACAGAGAGGAAGAGAAAGCGAAGCTGCAAGGTACATGCTACCTCCCCTCATGCTTGAATTTGCATATTTCCCAAGTACCCACGACTGCCCGCCGAGCGAATAGAACACCTACCTAGCAGCAGCACAAGGCACAAGCACCAAGAAGTCAGACGCACCAGTGGCAGTGGCAGGCCTCTGAGGCAGACATGCTGCAGCCCAGTTCCTCTTTTGATATCGCAACATTCAACCTTCGCATCTCCATGACTCTCATACTCTCCCCCTTCTTCTATTCTTCCACTTACACTTCTACTTCTACTCTACTGCCCTCGTTGTCATTTTAGCTCCCGTTGCCCACTCGAAGCGACGCCGCCGACGCCCACGTCCACGCCTCCCCGCCCTCTCGTCGCAGTCTTCCCTCTCACTCTCTCCCCTCCGCTCAGGCCGTCGTCGCCTCCAGCGTCTCAAAGCTGGCCGCCCAGTCCACATTCTCGTACAGGCTCCTCGTGGCTGTGGCTTGGCCTTGTCTTGCGCCGCCAAATGTCCACGATCCTGGCCAACCTGCGACCCCGCGCTGCGAAGCCCGACCACGATTCCAGCGGCTCTCCTTTGGCTGCCGAAACCTCGACTTTCTCCTCTTGAATGCGCACTTGACCCCCGGATGAGCATCTCAACATGGGCATCGTTAGCAGCAAGCCCGACGACGGGGCGACTCTCTTTCTAAGAGACCAGAATCGACGTGCGCTCTCCCTCAGACCCATACTTGCACCGCCTGCCCTGCTTGCTGTTCATGCACGCAGCCTGGCGGCGCATCGCAGTCGCTTTCCACTGACTTTTTTGCTCTCAATTCATAGTAACCATATCCTCCCTCGTCATTTCGAACCCAAAAAGGCGTTCCTCTATAAACATTGTTCCCAATGCATTTCCTGCCACCAGAGTATCCGCCTCTCGCCCCCTCGGCGATAGTAGTCCCATAGAATTCATTCAGGTTCGTCGGCGCAAATCATAGGCTCCCCCATGCCCAAAAACACCTTCCAGCCTCGTCTCGGGCACCAGACACTGACTGCCGCCTTGCAGGACACCGAAGTTGTTACTAGCCCAGGCGGCGCTCCGAATTTCATCCTCAAACTCACACATGACGAAGAGCTAGTCTTCACATTTACCTTTATCATTCGCCAGGGACAGCAGTTTGTTACCAGCGGCGCCACCGATACCATAGCCAACATCGACACTCAAATCAGCGGACTGACCTACGTATACGCCTCTAACCCCCGCGAGGTTGAGAACCTCGTTACTCGCGAATTCCATGCCGACCCGAATCTACACAAGAACTCCAATGTTGAGTTGGTAGGGGACTTTGGGACCGGCGGCCACGCCTCGGTTTCTTTCGAGTGGACCTGGAAATGGAAACCTCCGAAGCCCATTGAAGACAGAGGCGGTGGATGGAGGAACTCA